CGTGTGGGCGTGCACTATAGAAATTGTGACATAATTATTTCTGTAGAATTTTGTAGTTAAATGATCTTGGCATTTTCCATGCGGTTTTATGAGTTAAAGAAATTGAGCTGAAAAGCATATTAAAAATCATGTTAAGGCTATGTGCCAGTATTATTGGGACCCACAGAGGTCATATTATTGTGAAATATTTATTTTAAATTGAAAATTCATACTTAGTCATATTCATTTCTTTGCAAATCATATCTCAATCTCTGTTGTTATTTATTGATACATCATATCAATTTATTGAGGGAGGCCGAGGGCCTGATTGTGAGAATATTTTTGGGATCGGGCTGCACGTCGCAGCAAGCCATGTTGGCTTTATATATATTATTACTATTATATGGATCGGGGATGCCCGCCTGCAGCAGGCCTTATTGGCTTCTTATTGCACGTGAGTTAGCCGTGCAGCACGTGAGTTGGCCATGCGGATCCTTATATTATTATTGCACGTGAGTTGGCCGTGTGGATCCAGATATTTATATTATGGCACGTGAGTTGTCCGTGCAGTACGTGAGTTGTTCGTGCAGCACGTGAGTTGTCTGTGCTTATAGCTCTTGGGCTGTAGGAGCCCTTCATGAGTCTGTACATACCCCCAGTGAGCGCAGTCGGCTATAAATAGGGATCGGGCTGCACGCCGCAGCAGGTATTGTATAGCGCTGAGTGATTGAGTGTGCTGAGAACAGTGAGAGAGAATGCAAGACAATGAGATTGAGTACTCTGAGAGAGTATGCGTACATGAGTGCAATCTCTGAGATACATTGCATTGACATGCACACATGATATATATGCATAGAGATGTGTTTTTCTCATGCTGTGCGGCATCACAATATTCATGATTTCTCACACATGTTGACAGATGGGCATAGTGATGTATTTGTTTTACACTGGTTATCTGGAAAAGAAAATGAGATATTTTATTTATTATTGAAAGGATTTTGAAAAAATTAATGTTCTCAAATTATTCATATTTTTGGCAACTTCGGCAAACGATTTCGGTTTTCACTGATGTATTTGAAAGGAAGAACTATTATTTTTGAAATCATGATTTGGCTGAGCATTTTATCTATGTGTTTCTTCTGGTATTATTTGCTTTATAATGTTATGGACTATTGTGGACTAGTGGTTTTGGACCCCGACCTTGGTAGAAGCTCGTCACTACTTTCAACCTAAGGATATGTTTGTTACTTACTCAGTGTATGAGGTCGGTTGTACTGATACTGCACTTCTACACATTGCGTGCAGATATTGGCTGCCGTTGTGGTTGTGTTCGATGGTTGCCGGATTTAAAGATGTACCTGTGTTCCTGTTGTAGCTGCCTCATGTTCAGGGTAGCCTTAGATTTATATAAACTCTGTTTATGTACTATTCAAACAGACTATGTATTTATTTCATTTCCACTTTGTATACTCTATTCTTAGAAGCTCATGATTTGTACTATCAGTTCTTGGGAATTGTATAAGATCAGGATCTTTATTCACTTAAATTGCTTTAATAATTATTATTGAAATTGGTTAGTTGAAAATTGGCTTACCTAACGAGATGGATTAGGTGCCATCACGACTAGTTGAATTTTGGATCGTAATATTACCATTGCCGACAGAGGACCACCATCTGCTTTAACTTTTAGATCTTCACCATTCAATACCCACGAATATCCCTCTCCCACTCAGATTTTTCTGCAATAATTTAATATTTAAATTAACAATTTTTTGTAAAATTAATTTTCTGAGTGAAATTTGGTATTCTTTGGAATTAAATTAATGGTTCATTTTAAGATTTTAAGGTTTAATAAGTTATCTTTCTGCCTAAGTTATATTTGTTGTGCCACTATGTAACTTTTTGGAGTTAACTGAAATCATGTGGGCAAATTAGCTTCACAGTTCGTCGGCGGTGATTTGGTTGAGAAACTATCGGTGATTAAGCTGGAGAAGATGAACAGAGAAAGAGTTAGGTTACCAAATAATGAATTAATAAAATAAAAATATGATATTTTGACAAATGGAACCTAAATAACGATTGGATCATAAGTCGGGTATGGAATCGGGTGTTTGAGGGGCTAAACATGTTTAACAGGCTGGAACGATTAAGATGGATCGTGAGTGAGTTATTTACGGATCATATTTGGGTTAGAGTGGGATTTTTAATTTTGACCAATAAGCAATTGCCACATCATATATAATAATAATTTTTTATTCAGCAAAGGTCCGACAGAAATAACAACAACAACAACAACAACCCAGTAAAATCTCACTAATGGGGTCTAGGGAGGATAGTGTGTACGCATACCTTACCCCTACCCCTACCCCAAAGGAGTAGAGAGGTTGTTTCCGAAAGACCCTCGGCTCAAGAAAACAAAAAGACAAAAGGACAAAAGGAGACAATATTAGTATCACCACAACAATCATAGGAAAAATAGGAACATCATGAAATGCAGAAGAAAGATGCAAAGCAAAAGTGATAGCTAGTAAATAGGACATGCACTGAAAAGCGAAGTAGTAAAACACAACATTGTCACTAGCTATCTTAGACAAAACCCTACCTGGCTAGTCCCACAATGGTACGAAGTAAGTAAAGACTCAACTACTAACTAACGTACAACTCTAATACTCGACCTCCACATCTTTCTATCAAGTGCATGAATGAGCCAAATTTTTAACGGTTAGAACAATTTTCACAAAATAGGTGAACGAAGAATATTTTTAAACCAAAGAATAGGTTACCAACAGTTTAACCATTTTCCTATATTTTTTGTAATCCTCAAATGCACCTCAAAAACGACACTACAGTTCCCTTTTTATTCTATTTCCATCATTGGACTTTTTCACGAAGAAAGAACTTTTAAATGCATATTTTGTTTTTGCACATGTCTGTAATTCTGAAATTATGGTGAATGAATATATTAAATGAGAATTGAGTAAAACAAAAATCACGGGGAAGAAGATTGTCTCAAAAGACCTAAAAATTCTTGGAATCAATGCAATGAGTACAGACTTAACTAAAGATATGACACAATAGAAAAAGAAGATTCGTTGATATCTACTAAAGGAAAATAAGTATAGAACTTTTAGTATTAATATTACAATTATTATTATTACTAGTAATATTTATTTATATTTAACTTATTTTATTATTTTATTTTATTTGGTATAATGATAACATGAGTTGAAGTTAAATAGAGAATTAAGATTTATATTGCAGATTTCAACTTGTTTTGGATTAATGCATAATGTTATATTTTTTCTAAATAATTTTAAGGACATTTTGGTTATTTTAGTATACAATTTTTTTAATTAACACACAAATATTAGTTATAAGATTCAAGACTTTTATCTAAATATATAATTATCTATTTATAAAATCAAGTTCAACGTCTTAAAATATACTTATCGATCCTTCATGTTTATCAACTTTCAGTCAAATAAGCTATACGAACTCATATATTGACTTTTAACATATTTTCCCACAAAAATCAATATATATCATGTGGTACACTCGTAATACACGTGGTTTTCATGAAAATTCACAGGAAAAGCCAGCTGATGTGGTCTAAAAAAAAAGGTAACCACTCAAAAACATTATGTAGCAAGTTGGCAATTGTTACTGACGTTGTACTTCAAAGGCCACAAAAATTAGTTTGTCTATGCGACCACTCGTATGGTGCATATCCGACAGGTAAGCAATTGACGACCCCTTGATTTCCAAATACATACAGAAATGGAAATAAAGAAATAAAGAAGGCGATCTAAGCACAACCAGAAAAAGACTACCCAAAATCAAACCTTCGTCAAGTACACGTAGGAATATACATCAAAAGATCCATCAACCAGCAAAAACCAAAAGCAATTGGGTCATATCAAATCCTGGATAAGTCCATCATTTTTTATTTTTAATTTTTTCTTTTTTTTTTTCGTGGTGCAATGTAACCAACATAACTCCATATCAATTATTATTAATTAATTTTGATTAAATGAGAAACCAGATATATTCCATGAACATATCTTAGGGGACAGAGTTATTCGGATAAAATAATCTAAATACACCTAAACATTACTAAAACGTATATTATGGACATGTTATTTGGTATAAGGATGGGATGCAAATAACTATTTTTCGGTCTCACTTTATGTTATTTCATTTATTTGTCGATCAAGTACATAAAAGAAGAAAGAAAATTGGAAAAACATATAATCTTGAGAAAAGTTTAAAAGGCTCAAAACGATTGGTTGGATTGGTGTCTCAATTGGTGCGACTGCAGGGCGCTGATCCTGTAGGATTGCCCCCTGTGTTAGTTGCGGAGTTCTTAAGCCTTCAACTGGAAAAATGAAGGCTCATTCAACAAGCCGTTGTATCTCTTTTAGATCACTTCAACTACACGTTCCACCGGCTACTCTACTCCGGCGGAAACTTTTATTCAAAAGACTCAATTTCCACGTCAGCATTTCAGTCCGTTGTTCGGCCGACGGTACCGATAACTCCCCCGAGGTAATTAACTCCTCCTCTACAAGACGTAATGTACTGCTCATGCCTTTACTTACAATCGGAGCTTGTGCTCTCCGGTCGGCAGTGGCCAGAGCGGACGACAAGCCGCCGCCGGAGAGTACGCCGTCGACTCCGGTGACTACAGCGGAGGCTCCGCCGCCTGCTCCGGCGGTTAAGGCGGAGGAAAAGAAAGAGGAAGTGATAAATTCGAGGATTTATGATTCGACGGTAATAGGAGAGCCGTTGGCTTTGGGGAAGGACAAGAAGAAGGTGTGGGAGAAGCTCATGAATGCTCGGGTTGTGTATTTAGGGGAAGCCGAGCAAGTTCCTACTCGAGATGATAAGGAATTGGAGCTGGAGATTGTGAAGAATTTGAGGAAGAGATGCGCTGAAGCAGAGCGACCCATTTCGTTGGCTTTAGAAGCATTTCCCTCTAATTTACAACAACAGCTCAATCAATACATGGCTAGAAGGTTAGAATTCCCTGGCAGTATTTCCATAATTTGGTTATTGACAATCAAAAAACTAGTTTTTGCCCTATTTGCACTGTATAGTACTTCAATGAAGGTGATTCAATTGAACCTCCTTCCTTCAACCTAGCTCTACCCCTGAGTCGTGGTCGTGGAATAAATCTTTTTTAGAGTTAATGCGATATCGTTATCAAAGTGTTTGTTATAGTGCACTTGTTACATCTAATGTATAGAGAAATTTTTACATGAAATTGTTGCATTGAGATATTTGTATGAGACATGTATCTGATGTTATGCACTTGATATTGCAGGATTGATGGAGAGAGTTTAAAATCTTATGTAGCACATTGGCCAACTCAATATTGGCAGGAGTATGAGCCCTTATTGACTTATTGCCGCGACAATGGGGTTCGGCTGGTCGCATGTGGTTTGCCTCTAGAGGTACTTATTATCTCTGTCTTCATCTATTAGTTAATGGGCATGAACTAGAAATATTTATGAATCCAGAGGAAAAAGCAGCAAACAATATTACCTATGAATGATATTCAGCAGAAAAAAGATGGCCTCCTTTTTATTATCATGGAAGATCTCTTCGTTCTTAAAATTCCAATTCTTTTCACTGCCTTAGTGCTCCTCATTGATCAAGTTTATCTAGCTTCATAAGTTACATGTGAAAATGATAAATTTTCTTGTTTTTCTTTCTGGATTAGGTCCTACGAACAGTTCAAGCAGAAGGTATTCAGGGGCTTTCAAAAGCTGATCATAAGAAATATGCTCCTCCAGCTGGTTCAGGTTTCATCTCAGGCTTTACGTCCATGTCACGCAGATCATCCATTGATGTAAATCTGCTGAACCAGCCTACTCCTTTTGGACCAAGCTCGTATCTCTCTGCACAAGCAAGAGTTGTTGAGGAGTACAATATGTCCCAGATAGTTTTACAAGCAGTGGTGGATGATGGAGCAGCTGGTATGTTTGTTGTTGTCACAGGTGCTACCCATGTCATGTATGGATCAAGAGGGACTGGAGTGCCTGCTAGAATTTCAAGGAAGATACAAAAGAAAAATCAAATTGTCGTACTACTTGACCCTGAAAGACAATGGCTAAGGAGGGAGGGAGAAGTTCCTGTTGCTGATTTCTTGTGGTACTCTGCAGCTAGACCTTGTAGCAGAAATTGTTTTGATCGTGCAGAAATTGCCCGTGTGATGAATGCAGCTGGCAGGAGGCGAGATGCCTTACCTCAGGTTAGTCATTGATGCTTCAAGGTGAAGGACTTTAACTAATCAGCTTCCAAAATTCACATTTGGCTGCAGTCAAACATACAGATTGAATCGTTAAAACAGATAGTCTCCTGCTAACTGAGTCTGTCAAGCTTCTGATATGGAGCTTGAAGTTATTAACCAAAAAATCAGTTATGCTTCACAAGATCTTCCAATGCTTCCTTCTATCCGAGTTCTTCAGAATTGGGGTTTCATAACCAAATTTCTTAGCTTGTACGTTATAGAAATTTAAGAAATGATGAAAAAAGAAAAGCTTGCTTCTTTACACCAAAAGCTTGTCAGATGAAGTTAATAGATTAATAGAATGTCTTTAGAATGCACTAATTTTCAGTATGGCAAAAAATATACAAATTACCGAACCTCTTATAAATGTTGCAAAAGTTTTAGGCCAAGACATCATACCACATTTGTGGAGAATACTTCCACTTGAAGATTTGTGATTATGCTTTCTGAAGAGACTTATATCTAATGAAGGACCTGAGATCATCTGGCTGCAGAATCCCGCTCTCAGTCAGTAACCAGAGATGGGAATCTTCATTCTACCTTATCTTGATCTGGTTCAACATAACGTTTCCTTACTATCACATGTTGGCTTTGCGAGGTATATTCTGTATGTGAAGGATGTCCTATAACCTCAAACAGTGCTGTATTCTATGTATGAGGTTCATGTTCGTGATTAAGACCAGTTAATGAATTGAAAATTATGCATCAGTTCACTCTGGTCCATGTCCAATGCTCTCTCCTTGGCTGCTTTATCTAATTCCCTAAGACCCTGTCTAGCTTGGCTTGTCTCTGGGCCCATTAGCAATTAGATGTTTTTCACTTATCAAAATGAATTCCATTTGCAAATGGACTTTTAGTTCCGTGGAGAAGAACTTTTCTAATTGAATCCTACCCTTCCCTAGATTTGCAATTATCATGTTCCGATTGAAGCACCGTCTAGTTTCTCTCATGTGCATCACATCTACTTTATTTTCTTATGATGATGGTATTCGGCCCAACTTACACGCACATCTGCTATTCCACCAGGTAGCTGCTACCTCCCACCAGCACCGATACTGCGTGAATCTGCCCATTAAAGCTTAAGAAAATGGGAAGAAAGAACCTACTAGTATTTTCTTCATCAAGAAATAACCTATTGTATTTTGTTTCTGCTAGGATTTGAACCCTGGTCTCTAAGGTTCTCACCACTTCATTAACCATTAGGCTACACCTTGTGTGCTCATGTCTACTTCATTTTTGAAACCATCTTTTCAAGTGGCAATAACTTCCATACTACAAGACCCACTCCTTGTATAATCAGAGTCCTGCACTTGTGGCATTTACGCCATTTACCGCAACCTTGGCCCCTGAATAGTGTGTTAAAGGTCCTTAGATGCGTTCTATTTGCTGTATTGAATTGGTTTTGATACCGCTGCTTGTTTATTAGTAAGGTATCTTCTCTGCTTTAGCAGGCATCGGTCATATTTTCATCTCAGTAGTGAATTAGATCCCACAGAATTTTTTGAAGTTACTCATCATAAACTTTTCTATTACATTTTGTGGACATGGCTTGGTGCACCGGTAAAAATTGACGTCATGTGACCAAGAGGTTCTGCGAAAATAGTCGTTTGCAGAAATGCAAGGTAAGGCGACGTACATAAGACCAAGGTAGTTTGACCCTTCTCCGAACCCCGCACATAACAGGAGCTTAGTGCACGAGGCTGCCTTTTTTTTTTGTGGACATGGCTTCTTGAGCATTTCATGGATGCAGAAAATATTAGGTATTCATTGAAAAATCTTACTACAACAACAACCCAGGATCCCACAAGTGGGGTATGGGGAGGGTAAGTGTACGCAGACCTTACCCCTACCCCAGAGGGATAGAGAGGCTGTTTCCGGGAGACCCTCGGCTCAAAGACAATAGATCCGTAACAACAACAGAAACCTAAAAAATAGAATCAACATCGTAAAAGACAATAAATAAATAGAAAGGCCAAAATGTGAAAGACATCAAAAATGTGAAACACAACAAAAACCGGTAGCACTCCTAGACAAAACACTATCAGCCTAGCCTGCACAACGAGGATACACGCTCGCTACCCCTAACCTACAACCCTAATGCTCGACCTCCACACCTTCCTATCAAGGGACATGTCCTCGGAAATCTGAAGCCGCACCATGCCTTGCCTGATCACCTCGCCCCAATACTTCTTAGGCCGTCCTCTACCTCTTCTCGTACCTGCCAGAGCCAACCGCTCACACCTCCTAACCGGAGCATGAAGGCTCCTCCTCCGCATGTGCCCGAACCATCTAAGCCTCGCTTCCCGCATCTTGTAATCCAAAGGAGCCACGCCCACCTTCTCCCGAATGTCCTCATTCCTAATCTTATCCATCCTAGTGTGCCTGCACATTCATCTCAACATCCTCATTTATGTTACTTTCATCCTCTGGATATGTGAAATCTTGACTGGTCAACGCTCAGCCCCATACAATATGGCTGGTCTAACCACCGCTCTATAGAACTTACCTTTAAGTTTCGGTGGCACATTCTTGTCACACAAGACTCCAGACTCTAACCTCCATTTCATCCACCCCACCCTGTTACGGTGCGTTACATCCCCATCGATCTCCCCATTTCCCTGGATAATAGACCCTAGGTACTTGGAACTCTCTCTCTTAGGGATGATTTGTGAATCCAGCCGTACTTCCACATCCGCTTCCCTCGACATGTCGCTGAACTTATACTCCAAATATTCCGTCTTGGTCCTACTCAACTTGAAACCTTTAGACTCCAGGGCCTGCCTCCATACCTCCATACACTCCAAATCTCTTACTACAAATGTACTAAATAATTCCAGAAATAAAGGGGTTACAAGTTTCATAATTTCATTACAGGATGACTACCATCCTGTTTGCTAATTGCTATTGCTGTTCTCCGACCAATAAACCACAGCACCCTGTTACTTTCGTACACTACAACCAAGTTTGAGCTTGGATAATAATACCTGTTAAAAATTTGGGTCCCAAAAGCATCAGTAGAAATGGGCTTGTCCTTTTAGTTTTTGATCAGTAAGTGAGAGTGACACAGGGCTTGTCTTCCCGGGTGTAACATATCACATCTTCATATTGGTAGAAAGTAATTGAGATAAAATTGAACGAAGTGGCACAAGGAACTGTTGGAAGTATTTGGTAAGAAACTTCATTCTGGAAACACATAGTATTTTTCATTTGTGTAGTTGAATCAATCAGCACTTTTTCTTATAACTGAAAAATCCTCTCTTTTTTCAGCTTCAATACTTGGTGATACTAGGCTCACCTTTTACCCTTCTCCTTCACTAGTGAGGATTCGCACTCGTGGCATGCCTCTACAACACATCCCGCTTTGTGCTTATTTACCTTTGAACAAAAGCCCTGGGAGCTATAGCACTTTTTTAGCAGGGTTTCCGTGAGATTGTAGAGTCACGGATCCTATAGCTACAATGCTAATATCTGTGGAATACATATTCTTCTTCCTGTTTTCCTAATGTCCCATCTGTTGTGGTTAATTGACACTTCATAGTAGAAAGTTGAAGTTATTACTACCTGTGGCTTCAAATTTCAGCTAAGATACACTACTTGCAACTTGAAAGTATCTGATACTGCAGCTGTTGAAAATGTTTACATGCTAGTAATTGTGCATATTCTGCTGAATTGCACTCTGAGGAACTTTATCTCATTACAGTAGCAACTTACTCTTTTTTTTCAGGATCTTCAAAATGGATTAGATCGTGGTCTGGTGTCTCCGGAAGTGCTGCAGAACTTTTTTGATCTAGAGCAATATCCCTTCATTTCAGAGTTAACTCATCGCTTTCAGGTGTGCCATGATAAACATCTATTTTTACACCACCAGAAGGAGAAAAGAGCATGAATAAAGGAAGAAAAATTAAATAAAAAGGATAATTTTTCTTTTTTACTTTATTTATTATTATTTTACGCTTGTAGCTGTGTATAAAGAAAATGCTAAGTTGGTTGGAGTTGGAAAAACCTTGTTCTGATGCAGGGTTTTAGAGAGAGATTGTTGGCCGATCCTAAATTTCTACATCGATTAGCTATTGAAGAAAGTATATCAATAACAACAACTCTCTTGGCACAGTATGAGAAGCGTAGAGAAAATTTCTTTGAAGAGCTTGATTATGTTATTACAGACACTGCCAGGGGTATAGTTGTGGATTTTTTCACTGTGTGGCTTCCTGCTCCAACGATTTCTTTCTTGCCAGTTGCTGATGATGTTGATGCGCCTAAGAGTGTGGAAGCATTGAAAGGCCTCCTGGGTTCTATCCCAGATAATGCTTTTCAGAAAAGTCTTGTTGGGAAGGATTGGAATGTGAGCCACAGAGTTGCGTCTGTGTTTGTTGGTGGCCTTAAATTGGCCGGTGTAGGATTTATTTCTAGCATCGGCGCAGTGGCTTCATCAAATATCTTGTATGCAATACGCAAAGCATTAAATCCGACCTTTACTACTGTCCAAAAGAACAAGCGGTCTCCAATACTGAAAACAGCGCTTGTGTATTCATCATTTCTTGGTACATCGGCAAATCTACGGTATCAGGTACCTTAAACATCCGCATATGCTTGAGAGTTTAGTCTTATACCATTGTTTTCAGATCCAAGATGATGATTATTTATTTTTACTGGATATATCCCTTTCAAGTTTGAAAAAAGGCTATATTAGCATTAAACTGAAAATCTGATTCTTAATCAACTTTGGTCCCTTCATCTTTTACTAATATGTTTGACACGAGCATTCACTCAAACATATAGTAGATGTTACTTTAGAATTCTTCATCAAAAAAGTAGATGTTACTTTAGAATACTATCTGACAATGATTGAACTGTTAGTTCTATAGCTTGGTGTCTTTGCAAGTTCCTTAACTTCCTATTAATGTGTTTTAGGTTCAACTAAACATAATAATATACTTGAAATGCAGGTTATTGCAGGATTAGTAGAACACAGGATTGCAGATCAATTAGCGGACCAAACGTTACTTGTAAATATGCTATCTTTTGTTGTTCGAACGATCAACTCCTACTGGGGAACCCAGGTTAGATACGGCCTAAAATTCGTTGAAGTTAAATCTTTTTTTTTTCCTTGTCTTTTTTTATGGGTAACCGTTTGATAAACATCTTTATCAGTAGCTCAATGACTAGTCATGTAGGTTAGTGGTAATGAAATCTAAAAGATTAGTCTTTATAAGGGTCTCCTCAGGGTACCTTTTATTTATTCAATTATATGATAATCGAGAAATTTCGAGGGCAAGTTGGCACAAGATCGGACAGAAAACTAGAAAAGGGAATGAGAGGGACCAGATAATTCTCAAAACCATAGCATTTTCCCTATCATACTACTATTATTTATTTCTCCCATTATCCATATTCATGCCTCACATGCTGTTATCCCCGGGTCTCACACATTGTTTTCTAACCTCCCAAACTTGCACGCTGCCGTAGCCTCTTGCCAATTTCATTCATAACATAAGAGTTCGATGACTATTTCACATTTGAGTTGTTTCTTATTGAAAAATGTGTAGTGTTTAAGTTATTCGCCTTTCCTCGTATTACTGATCATTCATCCACCTATCACCTCATTAGTGATAAAGTAATTTTTCTGTTTGCAAATGATTAATACTTCTGTATCTCTTCTTCCGCAGCAATGGATCGACCTCGCACGGCTTACAGGATTGCAGGCTCAGAAGAGTGAGCAAGTTTCGGATCTTGCTCCAGATTCTGCAAATCCTGCTGCCGTTGGTTGCAATACACCAGAAGATACCAATATTGACGAAATCAACAAGCAATAGTAACAGTGTCACTTCCTTATCTTCTACTCTACTTTCTAGCATAACTTGTAAGCAGCAGTTTTGATTCTTTGCTGTATATTATTCACCTTTAGCATGTCAATATACACATAGTTGAAACACACGTCCAATAAATCTTTTTGATTCAGAGACTCGATCTACTTTGCCGAGAATAAAGCTGACTGAAGCTACATTAGAGCACTGTTTACCTATAAGCGAATACAGCATTGCACTGGATACGTTCAAACACAATTGACTTTAGTTGCACTCGGACACCTTATTAAGAAAAACTGTAAAATTGCCTTTTTGCTGAAGATAGTGAAATGCAGGAAATTACAGCAACAATCTGATACTATCAACACTGAACAATGACATAAACTTTATTTATCTTAAGTGGCTGAATACAAGATACTTAACTTACAAAAACTGAGAATCTTGTAAATGGCGAGTGTGACATCATTGATGAGCCCTATCTCTCAAAGTACGTCTATGCGCGAGCATTTGATAATGTAAACTAGTAAAAAAGGAATAGAGGAAAAGGATAAAAACATGTAAGCGAAAGATGCACAGAAGCCAAGTTTTGATGGCTGTTTTCCCGCTTATTATTTAGTGCTTGAGAAATAGTTGCTACAGAGGGTTGGATAAATTGAGAATACTTTAGAGTACATTGTCAAAATTGACTTCTCAGGAAATGTTTTAGTAAAAGTTGCAAATAAAGATAATGTTGATACTAGGCAATGAAACATTTTTATTGTCAGTTTTTAACCAAATGCCTTTCGTTTTTGAAGTATATTGTCGAAACTGAGTTCTCACGAAATGTTTTAGTAAACAATGCAACCAAAATCATCTTAATGATATAACAAATGAAACATTACAAGACCAAGAAAGCAGAGTTATGAAGTTCCCATTCATTAGCATCCTTCAGCAGATTAGAACTTAGATATGATAGGATCCTGCAGCTCCTTCGACCTCTCTTCAAGCTTCTGTTTGGTTTTCTCCACTGCTACTTCTAAATTTTTCATCTGCACCATCATTTTTATATTCAGCATTGCTACTAAGAGATTATGATTCAGTTGCAGAATATGAAAATAGTATTACACCTGTTGTCTGGCAAATCTATTGTGTATGAATAGCCCACTGAATAGATCAAAACTATCTCTAGCTGAGCTCTCCTTCTGCATGTTGTCCAATTCAGTGCGTAATTAAAAACCACAGGTTTCAGAAGTTGAAAAATACTTCTAGAGGACAAATATACTTGTAATCTTGAAAAGGTACAAGTCAATGTTGTAATTACCACTTGAACAAGTTTCTGAAATCCCTTTGTGTCTATGGGGGTGGGTTCAACCTCCATTTCGGATAAGATCCTGGTAGGTGAAGAAAATTAATAGTAGTTGGTAATTGTGATGACCTCTTTCTACAGTTGTAGTCTCCAACGAATAGGTGGCACAAATTACCTGCCAATTGTGTGAGTGAGAAATTGACTTCGAGCAGCCAATTTGTCATGCTCTTCACAAGTCATTTCCAGCATTTTGCAACCCTGGCAACAGAAGATACGTGCAGTTCTCAGATATGGGGTTCTCTCTCCTAACTTTTCCAGTCATCTTGAAATATAGGAAATTTCAGCTTAAGAAGCTAGTAGTGGAATGAACTTTGCTATTCTAGCTGACGAAAGTAATAGTAATAAAAACACAAGTTTGGCATGTTTATACTTGTTACCTCAATTGAAAAGATTTGCAGAAAACTGGAACACAGAGATTGATCTCTAATTCGAACCATGTCGTACATAAAAGTCAAGTCTGTCCATCCATCTTTTCCACTTTCTGGTCCAAACATTGGGTGTGTACACAGCAAGTCGCACTCCTGGGGCAATATCTTTTGAACACATAGTATGCAACCATTGTTAGATAAAATGGAAACCATTTATGAAGCAGCAAAATGAAAGTTTTGTAATAATTAATGTTGGTGTGAATTGCATACTCGCAAAAGGACATCTTTTGGATGTTCTTTCACTGAGAGTACATCAACAAAAAGTGCAGGCCGCTTGAGACAGTGGAATGGTATTGACTCTACAACTCGTGATAGAGACAAGATCGATGTGCTAATCATAATAACTTCATTGTCTGATTCAAGAAATGCACCCATATCCCTGCAAGTGAATAAATGAACATAAGCAAGCAGGTATTCATTATTTATTATTGAGAAATTGTCTGCATATACCTGAAGAATAGGATACCCAAATTAGCGCACATTTCTGAGTAATCTGATCTAGAAGTAGCCCTGATTATATGGCCTTGTTTTATCATGGTTTTGGCCAAAAACTGTGCGAAAGGACCCAATCCAATTATGCCTATACGCATAGTATAGGCATGGGAAGACGAAGAAGAAGATGAAGGAGACATGGGTGTAACAGCGGCAAAGGGGAGGAAGAATTAATGCGGGGTTTTATCTGACTAAGTAATGAATCGGACACGTCTTATACTTTTCTCAGTATAGGGAGGCCGGTCAAAATGTTGTGATGCGACGAGCAAACGCTAGCTATAAAAAAGAAGGAAACGGAAACGACTCTACCTCTTTTTTAAATGTCCCTTCGGGGATATCCTTTTCAGTTGTCCGACCATGAAAAGCACCAAACTAGATCGGATGGTTTTGCGTATAATTTTTTATCATTAAAATATGATAAACAGTACTCCATCCGTTCCAATTTACGTTAACCTATTTTTTTTGCTTTGTTTTAAAAAAAATGTCACATTTTTAAATTTGGAAACAATTTAGCTTAAACTTTTAATTTTTCTGGACCCCTTTTTGACTTGTTTAGGACCATAAATTCCAAAAGTCTTTATTTTTTCTTAAACTTCATGCCCAATCAAACATGTTCGCATAAATTAAAACGAAGGGAGTAGCAGAGTATGTATTGTTGTTTTAATTTGTGATTTTTATATTAAATGATTTGATTAAGTGTAATTGGTAACTATTTCTTGTTCGACACCCCCAACGTTTTTTAGCGGTAACAGTGTGATTAATAAACTGATAGAGTAAATTGCAATCAATGCAGTTTGTTAAACCCTTTAAGTTTCTTAACTTCTGGATAAAGCATGACACTTTCCAGGATGTGGTAAGGCAGAAATGGAATGGGTGACCCATTCTTGATGTTCAAGTAAAAGTTACGAAGAGTTAAAACTGCCATGTCTCACTGGAGTAAGCTAACATATGGTACATCTTTAAACATCTTGCAATTAGAGAGGATATTGTCAGAGTGAAGGCGATTTTATTTGAGGATGAACCTACAATTGAGAATATGATTGTTCTCCAAATAGCACAAGCTGAGCTGAAGAAATATCTTAGCATTAAGGAGCAGTTCTGGAAGCAAAAGGTAGGCATGAATTGATTTGCTGAAGGTGATAGGAACACAAGGTTTTTCCATAATTATGTCAATGGCAAGAGACAGAAGTTTCAACTCAAAAGAATTCAAAATGTAGATGATACTTGCTTGGAATCTCAGGAGCTTATATCTACAGCTGCAGTGGAATTCTCCAGCAGACAGTTCACACAAGAAAGGGATCCTACAAACTTTGATCTTCTTAATAATGTACCTTCTATGGTGACTATGGAGCATAACTTGTACCTATGCAAATTTCCAACATTTGAAGAAGTGAAGAAAGCAGTATTTACTCTAAGTGGAGATAGTGCCAGTGGACCTAATGGTTTTACTGGACTATTTTACCAATATTGCTGGGATATTGTGGGCGAGGACATATTCAATATGGTGCAACAGTTTTATAGGGGAGCATTACTACCAAAATCAGTCACACGCACTAACCTAGTTCTGCTGCCTAAGAAACCTAATGTTAAAACATTTTCAGACTTAAGGCCTATAAGCCTAAGCAACTTTATCAACAAGGTTTTCTCTAGTCTAATGCATGATAGGTTGGAAAAGATCCTACCTTTATTGATATCAACAAACTGATCTGGTTTTGTGAAGGGAATAAGCATTTTTGAAAATACTCTGCTCACACAGGAAATTGTATCTGATATAAGGTTGAGAGGTAAGCCAGCTAATGTGGTGATTAAGCTGGACATGGCGAAGGCATATGACAGAGTTTCATGGAAGTATCTTCTTCATGTACTAAGGAGAATGGGATTTGCTGAATATTTCATAAACATGATCTGGAACTTGCTAGCTAACAACTGGTACTATGTCCTAGTTAATGGTCAGTCATCTGGTTTCTTTGAATCAACAAGAGGGGTTAAGCAAGGAGATCCTCTTTCACCAGCTTTGTTTATTTTGTCTGCTGAAGTTCTAACAAGATGTATGAACAAACTGTTTGAAGATAAGAAATTTATAGGATATGGCATGCCAAAATGGACCAAACCATTGAACCATTTGGCATATGCTAATGATACAATCATCTTCACTTCAGCTGACACATACAGTTTGACTGCAATTGTTAAGGTTCTCACACAATATGAACACACATCTGGACAACTAATCAACAAGTTAAAGAGTTCCTACTACATGCATGCTAATGTGGCTAGATAATTGGTTGACAGTGTTGGTTCAGTCACTGGTTTTCATAGAGAAAATTTCTCTTTCACTTACCTAGGCTCTCCAATTTTCTATACACAGAGAAGAAAAGAATATTATAATGACCTTGTTCAGAAAGTGAAAGCAAAATTACATTCGTGGAAAGGGAAGCCGTTGTCATTTAGAGGCAAATCAACTCTCATATCGAGTGTACTACAAAGCTTACCAACCCACATCCTCTCAGTTCTAGATCCACCTAAAAACATCATGGAGTACTTGCACAAGATCTTTGCTAGGTTTTTTTGGAGCACAAAAGAAGAGGGGAGGAGCAGATATTGGACAAAGTGGGAGAATCTTTGTCTACCTAAGGAGGAGGGAGGGATTGGCTTCAGATCCTTATTTGATGTTTCAAAGGCCCTATTTTCCAAACTTTGGTGGAGATTTAGGACAACTAAATCAATGTGGTCGAATTTTATATGGAATAAGTATTGCAAAAAAGAGCAGCCAACTTTGGTACAATTTAGAGAGGGATCACATGTGTGGAGAAAAATGTTAGAGGCACGAGGGGAGGTAGAACATGAAATATTATGGGTGCTGAATAGGGGTACTACTAGTGTCTGGCATGAGAACTGG